ATTATATCATCATGGTGATGCAAGCTTAGGAAATTTGTTGTTGTTTCATTAATGTTGATAAAAGAACATTTAGGTAGATTTACCCTTGAAATAGTTTAGAAACTCTAGAATGATACAGGCTAGACAAATAGTATGTTTATTTCTTTCTGTTGCTGAGGTTACCGATGTATAAATATTATATAACCTATAAATAGACAAACACTGGGCACTGAATATTTGAATTAAGAAATAAAGTTGAATATTTCAGAAATGTATGGCCGGCTTATTGGACAGATTGGTAAATACCAAAATTATATTGGTTGCTTGCAGTTTATATTTTGGTGACCATATGACCTTTTTTATTATTTTTTTTATACTTACACTGGGGCTAAGAAGCTTCAAATAATAGAACTTTATTTTTGTGTCTTAGCTACTAATGATGGTCATAAATTCATCACATCATCAACATTTATTTGATAGTGTTTATTTTTATAATCATTAATTTTCTTAACCCATGATTAAGGTAATAAATATTGACAGTGCATCATTATTGACAGTTAATTAACTGTTACCTCCAATGCCTCAAAAAGAGGTTGTAATGATTGTTAACGGGAAATTGAAAATTGTAATAGGTAGGAAACATTTTACATCAATAAAAAATCAACTTAGTAATATATTTTATTAAAGAACACAGTTTTGCTTGCCTCCATCACTGATTCCGAAAGATTGTAACAGATTGGTTATTTTCCAAGGGAGAACTGGCCTCTATTGGACTTGATGAAATTAATTGTCAATTTTGAATTAAAAGGAGTTGCTGAATTTTTTGTTGAATACATTAGAGAAATAGATACAAAAATGCTAGTTTAGATAATATAAGGAATGTGTTGGTTTAAGAATAACCTTTCAGGGCAATGGTTATGCTTGGTTATGTATGACAGGTGGAAGAAATTGCTCCTCATTTATTTTCTAAAATGTCTTAGTACGAACTTGAACACAACCAAACCATACAAGAAAGTGGAGTTACAGAACTAAATTTGCATATTGTCAAATATTTCAGCTTTTATCCTTTAATATAGTTTTTATACATACATTTCGGCATATTTTGAGGATGGGTAAAATGTAATGTTTTTATGAACTTAACTCTTTGAATTCTAGCAAATGTATTTGCATGTATAGGACACACTTTATTGTGCAGTGTTGATTGCTAAATTAAGCATTGCATTTTAAAATTCCCCAATCTTAACAATGGACTGTACCAATATTCAATGCAGGCCATGTCTATTACACAAAGTTGGTAGGTTATGGGTTCAAAAAGGGAAGTAACAATAGTGTTGCGACAAATACATGATTTGAAAAGTACAAAATTTTAATGGAATCAATGAATATGTGTATAGACTTTGCCCTGAAGGTTATAGGTTTAGATTGCACATTTTGAGGATTTTATTTTTTTATAAGAACTATGTTCTTTTCCTTGCATTAATAGTGAGTTTGGTGTGCATTATATTTACTTTTTAATTTTTGAAAATAGGTTGAAGTGGTAATTTTATTTGATCAATTATTTTGATGATAATAGTTGGAATTTAGTTTTTCTGTTTGAAGCTACTAAACCATAAAAAAAAGTTTTGCAGATTTTAAAGCTTGTAAAAATGCAAAAAAAATATGAATCTTATGTAGCAGAACACTGTTGAGTATTTTAAGGCGAAGTTGTAGAATAAGAAAATACTGACAAAAAAACTAATCTTTATAAGTCAGCAATAATTCTTCTGCTCCAAATGTTTATAAAAAATAGAAAAAGTTACAATTTTTTAAATTGAAAACCTTTTGGCCAAATGTTATACACACATTCAATGAATGTAATTTTCTTGAATTTAGAACTTGTGTATTTTAGCTAGAACAGGTGGCACTCAAATTTGCAATTGGTGATCATGATGCACAATTTATTAAATTGACATTTTAATGAACTTTTTTAAAAATATTTTCCTGTTAAAAAATGATAATTTGCCATCATTTTAGTCTCGTATTGGTTTAAACAAGGATTTATGGTGTTGTGTTGAGCTATCAACAATTTGTGACATAAAGGTTTTTTTTTCTGCTAAAAATAAAAACAAGTTGAAATTTTGTGGTCAAAGGATTACATTTATTTTAAAACTATATCCTTTGAATTGGGATGGTCTTTCCCACATTGTCAATTTGTACATTTCCAAAGACGTCACAGAAAAATTGAATAACAACATTTAAATGAATTTTGTGAAAGATCAAGTATTAATCAGTATTAGATATTGGTGATTAAAAGTATTCCTAATTGAAATAATCAAATTTAGTGGTCACTATAATTTTTGCTTCAGCTGAAGAAAAAAATATACAATTTTATGAATGCAGAATTTGCAGATTGATTAATACCATAACAAACATCACCTTCACACCAATAACAGACTCTACACCATACCAGGACATGCAACAGATGGGAGAAAAGCTACTGCATGCATTTTTATTTGAATGGAGCTACCAAGATTATGTTTCCTTTAGCCAATTAATTTTGATTATTCTATCCTCTGTTATAACATTGATTTCAGGAAACAGAACAGTTGAGAGCAAGGAAACATTTAGAGAGGAAGCATACACATTTACGACGTGCAGAAAGTGTTGACGCCCTCGATGAGGACAAGTTTGACAGATTTGTACATACTGCAAGGTACATTTTATAAACCTAGAGGACATTTGTATCCAGTCTGTTAAACAGAATATAAATAGCTACATCTCTTACCAATACATTCTGAAAGATATTCATAGAAATTTCCATTGGTCACTTGATTGATAATTTTTCATAGTAAAATATAATAATATATTGTACACAATTATGGCAAAATGTCAGGTTTTTTTTTAAAGTTTATCTGTTAATCACAGACCATTTAGACCTGGATAAGCGTAACATCACTTTTATGATTAACATATTTATTTGTGAAGTGTAGTTTATGATGACTTATTGCCTATGTGTTGTTTATTTTACAGCGAGGGTGAGTTAGAAGAGGTTTTAACAACATACACTAAAATCAACAAATCAGCAAGCATTTTCCTGGGAGGTAAAGCTACAGGGGAGACAACTTCACATGTACCTACAACAGGTATATATAGTCTTTAACATTTCTGTACCAGAACTCTTTTCTGTATTCAGAGCATATTCCAGTGATCATTTGATGAAATGTTCAGCAGAATTGACACAGTGTCACTACCAGTTTACACTATATTTGTAAATTCAATGTGACCTATACTGTGTTAGTGTGACGTAAAACCCAACCAAAAACAAAAACCTAGTGTTTTAGTGTTTAAACAGAAACTGATTTACCTCTCAAAATATCGGAAATGGTTAAAGGACTGGTCCATTCTGTAGCCACCAACAGGCTTAAGGTTAAAATACTTGTAGTCTGCAAATTTTGTGTTATGTTTGTTTTTTATGTATACATTTTCAGTTAGTTGTTATAATATGTATCCCATGTTTGACAGGTAATTCCATGCAGCATATAGGAGCATCATCTCCTGTAATGAGGACAGATTCTCAGGTTCAGTTAAACAGACGGAAAGACAGTGACACATCTGAGAGGTCTACAACACAGACAAAAACTGTAACCGGCTGGGAGGAGGTTCCAAAAGGTAAAAATATCATCATCAGTATATCATATAATTATATCATCTTTCTATTCATCTGTCAATCAGTTATATCGATGCACATACAGTTCTGTATATACATACAACATTTCTCTTTTATAATTCTTTGAGACATTTAGAAACTTCATATACAATCTCATGGATTGTAAAAAATAAAAAATTATTTTTTAACAAAATTTTTTCAAAAAATGTATTTAAATATAAGAAAGTGACCATTCTTACTGCATAACACGCTGTTCAGAATTACATATTTAGCATTGGACATTAATGAAATAGTGAATTTGTTCACTTAAACTACTAGTATTTTAGATAGATCTACAAGGAGTACATTGTAGATGCTTTTTAGGGCCAGTATGCATGTATAGATCAGAATTTCTTTCAACAAAGAGACAAAAATACTCTTTTTTTTCCATAACTAACATATTGAACACAGATTTTTTTTGGTTCACTTTGAAATTTTCCATTAACTTATATAGCAGAACACCATGCTTCACTTACATACATTAACTACTGAAATAAATAAGTTCACAAATATAGCTCTTATCTTTGGTAAGTTGTAATTAGTACATCTGTAAAGGTAATGATTAAGATGGATAAAATCATTTGACAATCTGACTAAAACCATTGTAAAACCTAACTTTAATTTCCAGTTGTTTAGTATGAAAGTTATTCGATCTACCTCCATTCAGAGACTTGAACAGAATTTTGTAACTTTTATATTGATTTTTTTAATAGAAACTTTAATTATGTACAGCTTTCTTTCATTGTTATGACTACAAATTTTTCAAATTAGTATGATTGGAACATTTATAATGTAAAGGGAGTTGTTAATAAATAGATAATTAAAAGATTTTTAATTGTGTATAAAGGGCAAAGGGTTTGAATGGTATTGAAATACTTTTGTTTTTATGGGGATATTTGGCAAACATACTTTAACATTTATTAACAAAAGCTTTGATGATTTTAGATTTTATTCTTTAATTGATAAAACTAAAAACTTTTAATAAAGGTCATTTGTTAGTCATGCTTCTTTCTCTTGCTCAACCAGCTATACATAGTGTACCGACCTCTAGTAATGACCTTCGACCTCATTCCTCACATACGGGTAGCCATAGCAACGTAGGCTATGGGACACGACCTGCTTCCTACAACACAAACTCTGCGGCCTCGTATGCCAATGCTGTACAAATATACACCCAGAAACTATCCTCACTGAGGCCCAGATCTGCAACCACTGCTCACAAAACAGGTACATTCTTATCAAATACAGTGCCCACAAAAGAAGTTTGAAGACAGGTGAAAATAATGTGTAACATAATAATTTGTAAGGTACTGTAGAATCATAATAGATGATCAGAACAATATTTTTATTAATTTTGCTGTACTGCACTGATATTTTGGTTAATACAGTTACAGTAAAACGAGCGGTCACACCTGCACAACTGCCAATTTGTATTCAATGGTCAGCTGAAGTCCGCCCATGTATTTTCCTTCTTTAGTTTAATCTATGAACTATGCTCAAATGTTTTTATAATTCCATTCTCTCAGCTTGAAATGCCATGTCTATGACAGTTTTCTATTTCATAGACTTGAGGACTTTATTTTAAAATACATGTAGTAGTCTTTAGGGTCATTTCACAAAACTACGTTGTAAATGTTTTTATTGTGCTCAGAAAATTAAGGTGAACAAAACCGGGTACTTTATTTTGTTGAAGATGTACTTCACGTGTCTCCCAACTTTTGAATGGCACTGTTGTTTGAAAATCTCAGCAAAAATCCTTTGCTCCTTTTTTAGTACAAAAGCAGACATATTGCTTCTTTACATGAATTTTTAAAATAGTGAATATCTTTATATCATTAAAAAAAAATACAGTAAAAATGTCTGCCTTTGTTGAGAAAGGGGGAAAGGATTTTGTCTGACACTTTTATTGAATTTATTCACTTCCCAAATCAAGAAACCTATATGTATATTATCATTATCCTTATTGTTTATGCTTCATTTTTACAATTTAAAAAAATCATATATGTTTTTATGTCATATATTAATCAGAAAAACAAACCCTTTTTGTAGAAATAGATGTTTTTCTCTCAAATTTTTTTTTACCTTTCACAAATAGGTAGACCTAGAGCAGCTTCAATTATCTATAATCCCCAGCTTAACAAAAAAAATTGTCAAAATAAATATGTTGTTACAATTTGGCACAAAAGTTTGAAGGCAAATTCTTTTGACAATTTGTAACTTTTTCATCTCTTTGCAGCTCTTTGATATGAGCCTTTCTTATTTATCAACAAGATGCTTTTTTACCCCAAAATTTCTTCTGTTAGATTGCTTTTTGCAGAAGTTATAAGGCAAAAATAGAATAAGAATCAGTTCACAGATGCGATATGGATAATAACATTAATGAGCCGCGTCACGACAAAACCAACATCAGGATCCATGCTGTTCGCTTACCAACTCTATTACAAGTGGAGAAACTGACGGCGAACAGCATGGATCCTGATCAGACTGTGCGGATGCGCAGGCTGGTCTGGATCCATGCTGGCCGCAAACCCACTGTGTTGGTTTTGTTGTGACGCATCTCATTTAGTGATATACCAGAGTAGTTATGTAGTAAAGTTGCTTTTTACAGAGAAACAGGTACGGTCACGCCCGTCGTCAGCGGTGATGGCGCGATCAGGGTCAGCTGCTAATAGTGCATATGGAAGTACTGCAGATTTACAAGGTACCTACTATATTATAATGCTGTGTGACACACAAACCTAGAGTAACTAAAGTGCATGTACTTGAATTAACATAGTATAGACTGTTTTAAGGGCTTGGTGTGAGAAAGAAAAATGTGCAATTTGATATGGAGGCATATATGTGAACAAATTTATAAATGTAATTGGAAAAGATGCATCATTTGATTTGTATGAGAAAAAGATGTAATTCAACTTGTGGTAATTTAGGAGAAAATCTGTGTAAGATTAATATGTAGGCTTATCTGAAGAAAAACTGTATAATTTGACTTGAAGGCACATTCAGAATAAAATGTGTAATTTAACTTTAATGTATACATTGTATATGGGAAAGATAATTCAACTTCAACTTGAAAGGAAGGCATATAAAATTATACCATTTGACGTTTAGGCATATATAGGAGAAAATTAAACAATTTAACTTGTAGGCTTTTATTGGAGAAAATTATACAATTTCACTTGTTGGCATAATTTATTTTGGTAAATGTATGATTCAACTTGTATGCGTATTTAGTGGAAACAGTTGCTGTATTCAACTTAAGACATAGTTAACACGTTTGGGTGAAGTTAAGATTAAATAATTAATTCGTAAATGGTTAATTAGGCAGTTAATCTAATATTTGTGGTTGTTGGTCTATAATATTTAATAAGTGTCTTGCATATAAAAAGTCTCTAACAGATATAGAATTCTAAATGCTAAAATGTACAAGAGAAAAACTGATGAATTAAGTTTATACATTAAATAAGCACTCTTTGGCCTGTACAATTTTAGTGACTTGTCCTATGTGAATTTTAAGTATACAATTATAGACACAATAGCACTTAGTTGTCTGTATATCAAGGCTTTACATTGAAGCTAAAAACAGATTTTTCTGTCAGTGTCTAATGCAATTTAGTACCTTAAATTTGCTATACAAATATTCTGCCTAACACAAGTAAATATTCTGTTAAAACAAGTAAATATTCTGTTAAAACAAGTAAATATTCTGTTAAAACAAGTAAATATTCTGTTAAAACAAGTAAATTTTTTGCTAAAACAAGTAAGTATGGGAGAAAAAAAAACTATATGCTATGAATATGTCAAGAATGATACATTTTTTCAGGGGATATAACTAGCTCTGATGAGTGCAGCTCCCCTAAAAGGCCCTCCATATTATTCAGCAAATATTTTGCTAGAAATTTTACAGGTACAGTTAAATGCACCTGAAATGCACAAAACTTGTTACCTGATATATCCAACAGTTGATAAGGTTTTTTCTTTGCCAATTGCTTAAGTCACATTTCAAATACCAACAACATAACTTAACATAAGGATAAAACATATGTAAGAAATTATAAGAAATTTTTGGGTTGAAATATTAAAGAAAAAACTTGGGTGCCATATCTCCTTGTCCTGTAATTTCAGGGAAACAACTGCTTCGTGTTGTAGGTATGTGTAACAAAAAAAAAATGGAATGATTTTTATAGATATTTGATGGTGTAAAGATGGTTACTATTATTAAACTTTCATATTCATTTTAACCATTTTTCTATACAAGCTTTTTTATCCCCCGCCGAAAATTTTCGGCGGAGGATATAGAAATAGTCTCCGTCCGACCTTCCGTCCGTCCGTCCTTCCGTCCGACATTTTTGTCCGGAGCATATCTCTAAAAGTATTTGAGTTATCAACTTGAAACTTCATAGGTGGATAGACCTCATTGAGGAGGAGTGCAGTGCACAAAAAGGATAACTCTACCTTGCATGATTTTTGAGTTATTGCCCTTTGTTATTTTTCAAGATTGATTTTTGTCCAGAGCATAACTCCAAAAGCCTATGAGATATTAACATGAAACTTCATAGGTGCATAGATCTCACTCAGGAAGTGTGCAGTGCACAAGAATGATAACTCTACCTTTCATAATTTTTGAGTTATTGCCCTTTGTTATTTTTCATACCTAATTTTTCACCTGAGTGGAGCATAACTCAAAAAGTGTTTGAGATATCAACATGAAATGTCATAGGTGGATAGATCTTATTGAGGAGGAATGTTTTGCGCAAGAATGATAACTCTTCCCTATACAATTTTTGAGTTATTGCCCTTTGTTTTTTTAATGCTATTTTGTCCAGAGCTTATCACAAAAAGTATTTGAGGTATCAACTTGAAACTTCAAAGGTGGATGGATCTCATTGAGGAGGAGTGCAGTGCTTAAGAATGATAACTCTACCCTGCATTATTTTTGAGTTATTGCCCTTTGTTATTTTTCAAAATTAATTTTTGTCCAGAGCATAACTCAAAAAGCCTTTGAGATATCAAAATGAAACTTCATAGGTGCATAGATCTCACTCAGGAGGTGTGCACTGCACAAGAATGATAACTCTACCTTTTATAATTTTTAAGTTATTGCCCTTTGTTCTTTTTCATACTTAATTTTTCAATTCAATTTTTTTCTCAAAAAGTATTTGAGGTATCAACTTGAAACTTCATAGGTGGATAGATTTTACTGAGGAGGGATGCAGCACACAAGAATGATAACCTACCCTGCATTATTTTTCAGTAATTGCCCTTTGTTATTTTCAGCCATCAGTATTCACATAGGTTTCAAATCTGTAATCACTATAGCCATCAGTTTTCATTACCAAAAGACCTCTTAAAATGGAATTATTCCGCTCTACTACATATACATTCTTCCAATGAGCAAACACATTCGGCGGGGGATGGCCATGTTGACATGGCTCTTGTTATCATGGATATGTCCTTCACTGACATTTTGAACTGTTGATTCTTGGCCCTTGCCTTGTTGGCAGGACTGAAAGAAGATGTGAGTGCTATCTGAGTATAGTCTGCACTGGTAACTATTCATCTAGTACTTGTTTTGAAATTTTCCATAAAATTGCAAATAGTTTCATCCAGATAGAAAGACAGACACATTCATTTAGGATATTTAAAATGGTAAGGGCTAAAGTTAAGGATTTCAAGATTGAAATGCTATTATTAAGGTACCAGCGTCTAGCTGTTTAGTTTTGTTAGGTGAAATGTAATATTTTACTGATTTTCAAGGGTTTCAGACCTGTTACTGTTAAGGATTGAATAATGCTTAAAAATCTGGATGAAGAATGATCCCTCAGAAGTATTAATCACAACAAAATAACATGAAAATTGCAGGTTCTATTTGATTGAGTCTGTACATGAAAAAGTGCAACATCCTTCATACACCCTAGCACCGGCTTGAGTGGTACTCAAATTTCAACACTTAAAAGTGCTAAATCAATGATCCCAAAGGACCAGAAAATTATTACAACATTGAAGTGAAGTACGGGGCAACTTTGAGCCATTGCTACAGTCCATAAGAAATGTTGCATTTTTTTTAATAGTCTCCCATGAACAGACTTGAAAAAAACCTAGTCTTCAATTTATAACTATTTGTTTTCATTGCTCTTGAAGGATTCTCCCCTTTCCAGAATTTTTTACTGGCGGCATAACCCTGTGGCCTCCCATGATTACCACTAAAACTTGACTTATTAATGTTGCTAATATCTATCTATTGAGAAAGAGTGGAACGAAAAAAAACTTTGTAGCATTTTTATGCACAGCTTCTTTTTTTATCCTTTTTGCTTTTAACATCCTCTGCATAAAAGAAATTATAATTGTGATAACAAGAAATTTATTTTTGCTACACTTTTTTTTTCAATTACCATTTTGCTTTTCCTAGAAGCTTTTATCCAGTTTATTGGTGTTCTCTTTCTATAATTCTCACACATGGATTTATGTTTCATCATTTTCTTAAACGTATTAAGAGAATTGTTATGGTCATAATTATAAAATAACAACATATTTTTCCTATAGAAACTTCTAGACCATTCTTCAAGGTCTATAGGCATCAATTTCTTACTATTTGCACAGTTAAATTAACAAATACATGTATCAGAATTTTCTGAAGCAAAAATAGATTGTTTTTTTGTACAGAAAGTAATCATTCTCATTTTCTCAAGGCCAGTTATTTTATAATTTTATTCAACGAACATGCAATAAACAGAATGCTTTTGATGATATCTTTTTTTTCTGCAAATTTTTTCAAAGACAAAGAAATAGCTTGTACAGCTTTGTTTGTTATCAAGTACACAATGCCATTTAAGTGAAATATGCACGTTACGATTTATTTCCAGATCCATACAACGATAAAGTAATAACTGAAGCTCTTCAGCGTCTTACGATGAGACAGCAAGCTCGGCAATATTCTGCCTACAACGGAACTAGTTTAGTGCCGTCCGACTCTGCTAGTCGACCATCGTCTGCTTGTGGTAACAGGGACCATCCTGATTCCAGGACACCGGTGAATGTTCATGACACTAATTCATTACAACATATCAATAGCTCAAGCAGTGCTCCTCAAGTTGACAAAGGTAGTGGTGATATAAATAGTAAATATATTTACATGGAGGAACATGTTACTAAAAATAGACCACCCTCAGGTACGTTACCAAAACGCTCACCTTCTGCCATAGACATGAAATCATTTGAAGCTCATCGAAGGAAACAGTCAAATGTTAATCTACAAAGTGCCAATGCTACATTTAATAGTTTTATTGAGGATACAGGACCTAACTGGCAAAATGATCTTGCCTTAGCGTACAATCAGGTGACAGGTGTGACTCCCCAGAACTACCATACACCCACTCAGTCAAGCAAACAGTACCAGATAATGCAGCAACAAGCACTGAAGCAACAGAGTAAAGTGTTGTTAGAGCAGAGTAAGGCTAAACATCAGGCTATGATTGCCCAGGCACATGCTGTACAGAAATCATTGCTTAAACTTGACCGGCCCGAGTCAGAGGCAACCATGGTGCAAATGTATGCACCAAAACCACCTGTACGACCAGGCACTAGGAAAGCAGCTAGTGCTCATCATAGAATGCCAAGGTATATATATGTCATTTATCATCATCATGTCCTGTTTGTATAGCTACACTGTAATGAAGACTCAGAATGATTTTGTGATGTGATTCAATCTGAATTTAAGTAATGAATATTTCAGTCCCTTTTTAGCTCACCTGAGCATATGCTCAGGGTGAGCTATTAGGATCACTCTTCGTCCGTCGTACGTCTTCCATCGTACGTCTTCCGTCGTCCGTTGTCCGTTCACACTTTTAAAACGACATCTCCTCTGAAACCATAAGGCAGATCATAATGAAACTTCACAGAGATGTTCCTTGTGTGAAGCCTTAACAAAGTTGTTCAAAGAATTTAATTCCATGCAGAACTCTGGTTGCCATGGCAATCGAAAGAAAAAACTTTAAATATCTTCTTTTAAAAAACCCTAAGAGCTAGAGCTTAGATATTTGACATGAAACATCTTCTAGTGAGTGTCTACCAAGTTTGTTCAAATAAAAGCTCTGGGGTTAAAATTGGCCCTGCCGATGGGGGGGGGGGGGTATCATTGTTTTTAACTATATGTGTATAGTAAAAACTTAAAAATCTTCTTTTAAAAAACCCAATGAGTTAGAGCTAAGATGTTTAGCATGAAACATCTTCTTATGGGTCTCTACCAAGTTTGTTCAAATAAAAGCCCTTGGGTTAAAATTGGCCCTGCCAATGAGGGGGGGTAGATCGTTGTTTTTCATTTTATGTGTGTTGTAAAAACTTAACATTGTGACACATCTTCTAATGTGTGACTCTTCCGAGTCTGTTCAAATAAAAGCCCTGGGGTTTAAACTGGCCCAGCTCTGGGGGCCTATATACAGGTGAGCGACCTCAGGGCCATCATGGCCCTCTTGTTTTCAAAAATGTTATTTTGAGACGTTTGGAAATCAGTTGAAAATCATGTCATAATTTTGATATAAATTATGGCTAGTCTGTCACACAATTGCATTGTTTAATAATCTTTTGTGAGAAAACATTTTTTTTTTATTTTAGAAGTATGGACATCATCATCAGTTACATTTTTTTAAACTCTTGTTACATGTACATGAACTTGATGAAGTAACAATAATACAAAATAAACAGTCTGTATTACCATGTCAATATAACCAATGTCAAAATTGTATTGCAAGGGTTGCCTGTTCACTAGACAATCAATTATTGTATATGTTTTATTATATTTTTAATAATCACTAGATGCCATAGCTGCAAAGCTTTATACTTATCTATTGTAATCTTAGTACAACGTAATTAACCTACTAGTATTATGCAATACCCTACTGATTTTTTTTCATATAAAAAACCCATAGTTTATATTTATAAGTAGATTTGTTACCTTAGTGTTATAATGTTCACACATTTATTATTATGTGCAAATTGCATACACACATGCTCAATATTGTACTCAGGTCAGGCTTTTTTTTAAACAGATAGTAAATCAGTATGTTAGAGAGTATATTAAGCTATTTGTGGCATTAAATAAAACACTGTTAACGTTTAATCATTTGTAACAGTTGATCTAATCATTAGATAAACATGACCAATTAGCCGTGACATCATGGGGGAACTAAATTGCCTGTATATACTGACTGGTTTGTTGATTTTTATTACAGACGAGCAGTTCCGGAGGAGACCAGTCTTAATTTCCAGTTCTGTTCTACGGACAAATCAAATGTTAATGGAGGTTGGTATTGGATTGTCAGATGTAATGAGAACTATTGATGTACAAAATGTAGTCATAAAATGATTTGTAATGGAAATATCATGTCCGTGTCTCGTTCTAGTACACATATATTCTAATTTTATTTTTAGAAAAATGAGAAAAAACACTGAAGTTATTGTTGTCATTGTGTGGCATTTACACAAGTGTAAAGTAATTTTGTCAGCATGTATGTATAGAAATCTGAAATTATATGGGTTGAAAGTATGAGGTTGTCAGATACACTGCAGTGTTGTTTAAAATGTCAAGTGTCAGCAGCCAGCTTTGCTCAATTAAAGTGATTTGGTCTTTAATGGAAGGTTTGCAGCACAATGCATATTTATGTTGATAGTATTGAAAGTATCAGATATAACAACAAATCACGAAAGAATTATATATGGATGTTGTTGGCAAGTGTAAGATATATAAGATCTGATATTATGTATTCATATAGCATATAGTATATAGCAGATAATAAAGTATTCTAGATCAAAGTATTATTATTCATCATATAAATGTTCATGATAAATCACTTATAACTTATTTTTGAAATACTTACAGAAAATGTGCCCATTGTAGACCAATCCACTTTAACCTTTAACAAAATATAGGTTAGTTAACTTCAAAAAAATATTGAAATATGGAATAAATTTTATTTTATACAGATGAAATGCGGTACTTTGTACTTTATTATATTTGCCATTTATTTATGGAAAGGTTAAACTGAGATAGTACCCACTCTTTCACTTTAAGATATTGTAATTCATGTGACCAAAATTGAGATCTATGTACATTGGGTTACTTAAAGTGAATTTCAGTATAGAAATAGAATATTAATAGATAGAAAAAAGTGGTGTAACACATACTAATTTTTGAAAAAAGGAAACTAATCATATTTTATTGATTATTTTGTATACAGTCATGTAATCTGATTTATATTTTTACAGGATGGTAGTGTGAATGGTGAACAGAATAGAGACATCAACTGTATTAAGAGATGGTCAGAGTACACACTGATGAACAAAAGTACAACATGTCAGATAACTAACGAGATAACTTTACAGTGATAGATCTACAGCAAAACCTAGCATCATCAGCTCTCTTTCTGTGTAAACATGACCTTCACAATGACTTACTGTTACCATATCATTCCATATATCTGTGATAGAATTGTACTTTATTAGGACTGGATTGGTGATTTTTAAACTAATTTATCATAAAAAGACAATGAAAATTATCACTTATTACCAGCTAATCTGGGCTTTAGATGCCCAGCTAATCTGGGTCTCAAATATCCAGCTAGTCTAGGTCTCAGATATTCAGCTAACTAGGTCTCAGATATCCAGCTAAACTGGGTAACAGGTTCCAAGCTAAACTGGATCTCAGATACCCTCCTAATCTATATCTCAGATAACATGCAATCTAGGTCTCAGTTATCCAGCTAATCTGGGTCTTGGATTCCTAGCTAATCTGATTCTAAGAATCCCAGCTAATCTAGATCTCAGATACCTGTCTAATTTGGGTCTTAGATCCCAAGCTAATTTTGGTTTAAAATCCCAAGCTAATCTGGGTCTCAGATTCCAAGCTAATCTAGATTTTGGATTCCAAGCTAATCTGGATCTTGGATTCCAAGCTAATCTGGGTCTCAGATTCCAAGCTAATCTGGATCTTGGATTCTAAGCTAATCTGGGTCAAAGATTCCAAGCTAATCTGGATCTTGGATTCCAAGCTAATCTGGGTCAAAGATTCCAAGCTAATCTGGGTCTCAGATTCCAAGCTAATCTGGATCTTGGATTCCAAGCTAATCTGGGTCTCAGATTCCAAGCTAATCTGGATCTTGGATTCCAAGCTATCTGTGTATAAGATTCCAAGCTAATCTGGAACATTAAGCAGAACATTGCTCTTATATCATTAATTTATTAAGATACTTGATTTTTACACATTTTTGATTTATTTTTTTAGCATGAAAGTGTTTAACTGGTATGATAGATATAATTTCAATATAGAAAAATAGTATCGGCAAGTTAAATCAATTAATTATCCTATCCTAGATTCAGAAAAGCATTCATCCATTTATAAGCTAAAATTAGAAACTTGATTTATGAATGTAAAAATTGTTATTATAGTGTATATAGTAGTAAATATTATCTGGAAGTTTGCACCTTTGGGGTAAAGTGAATTCCTAATTATTTTTTGAATGCCATAATTACATTGTTTATATGATTTAATTATTTTGTATATATAGACCTATATATATTTCCGTCCGTTATTTGTTCCATTGTTTATATGTGCTTTCATTTACATGATCTGTGATACATAAATACAACATTTTATCCTGTAATTACTGGAATAGTAATGTGTGATAGATGTGTGATTACTGAAATAGTAATGTGTGATAAGTGTGTAATTATTGAAATAGTAATGTATAGAACTAAGGTGGTAAAATAGTAAATTATCTGGTTGATAACTGTAATATAATAGTGTAAATAAATTAGTGTGTCATTCCATTTTCATTTTTTGGTAATAGAAGTGCATGATATCATTATATATAATATGTAATTGTAATTTGTAATTGTAATTTATGTGTAATAGTAATGTATAATTACAGTGTTCAGATTGCATGTATAAAGTGTGATGAAATTAATCAGTTAGTGGTAACTTAAATGAGCCTCATCATGACAAAACCAACAAGTAGAGAAACTGATAGCGAACAGCATGGATCCTGATCAGACTGCGGGGATGCGCAGGCTGGTCTTGATCCATGCTGGTCGCAGACCCATTATGTTGGTTTTGTCGTGACACGGCTCAAATTATTACAATTTGTATGAACAATCAAACTTTTCTGAATTCAGGCAAAAAATCCTTGACAAAAAAAACAAAACAAGACCAAACATTGTAGTTTATGTATACAGGAAATTATTTTAGCTCAAAATGCTTCATTGGGAACTGGTCTGTCAGCAAAGAGATTTTGATATTGTTTCTTAAAAGTAATATTGATTTGTAATGTAAGGATATAAGCCATTTCCATGACATCAAAAATTTTATTTTTTATTTATTTTTATTATTTATGGAATACTTTTTAATAGATTATATTGGTGCCAAGTATCAGAAAATAATGTTTTAAATGATTTTATTTATTTACCCAAAAAATTGATGTGCTTGGGCTATTTATTGTTTTATTATTTTTTTTAAATCCTTTACCTTACTCTTAAAGTATATACTGAACATTAAAATTAATGTATGGAATTTTATTTCAAAATTAATAACATTTATATATTTCATTTTTTGTTATTGTTTTGTAAGTTATATTTGAATTTCTTTTATAAAAGACACATATGATGAAATGTGTTCCCATGGCTTTACATTCCAATAGCAGTTTAAAAAACTATTTATCTATTTGAGCCGTGTCATGACAAAACCAACATAATGGGTTTGCGACCAGCATGGATCCAGACCAGCCTGCGCATCCGCGCAGTCTGATCAGGATCCATGCTGTTCGCTTACAAACCCTATAACAAGTAGAGAAACGAATAGCGAACAGTATGGATCCTGATCAGACGGCGCGGAAGCGCAGGCTGGTCCGGATCCATGCTGGTCGCAAACCCATTACGTTGGTTTTGTCATGACACGGCTCATTTATTGATAACTCATTGTGTCAGCAGTTCAGAATCGGGAAGTTAAACCTAAAAAAAGAAGATATTTTTAAAGTTTTATAAATGTAGAAGTCATACAGTAGTTTATTTGGAAACTTGTGCATTGAAACTGAACATTTTAACATGGTAAAGGTAAAAACACTAAATTGACAAATCTGATTAAAAAGTAGTTAACTTGATGTGGCCGTACGTTCTAATTATGTGTGATTTGTACTAGTTAGATGGTCATGGGTGTTTGGTGCTTGAACTCTTGTAGATCTGTGATGTTTGCAGATAAAACAAATGAGGTTAACGATGTTTTCAGAAACTAGGTTGCATTTATCCTCGATACATCCTGTTGAAATATATATAGAAACTTGTAAATGATTCATAAATTTCTTGAACAAATTGGTTTTGACCTTAAATATATTTTAATACCTATAGATAATTACATTATTCATTTTGTAATGGAAATTGTATCGAACGAATAGAAACTTTTCAGCGTTATTTTCATCTCTGATTGAACTCGTAATGAAATAAAAGAATATTGAAAAGTAATATTTGGAAAAAAAGATGTTTCAGTACTGCAGAGGAAAAATATTTTAGCTCATCTAAAACCTCTTGCCCCCATTGAAGCTTTAGAGTAAAAAGTCAGACTTCCATTTATATTGTTCAGTTATAAAATGATATTTTATGTCTGTCTGTTTTTACATTGAAACCAAAGATTTTTATGTGCTAGATTCTATTTTAAGTGTTTAATTTAGGTACTTGTATACCTTATATTCAATATCAGAATTGTTGTTTTGTTGAATTAAACTCATTTTCAGTAGTCAAACATTGATATTAAAAAATCTAATCAAAAGATTGAAAGCTTTTTGTTTATAAGTTTTTAGTTGATTAGATTTTGTTGTATTTCGTATGATTATTTTTCTTTGATTGTAACAAGATTAAAACTCTGGGCCCTTAGCCTGCTAGTGGCAACTGAATATACACATGCGGCCAGTGCAGACCAAGATCTGTCCGCACATAGGTGTCATCTGATCATGGTCTGCACTGTTCGCTTTTTCATTCAGCAGTTATTTTGCAATGATGAATGGTTTTGTCCATATTGAAAGATGGACAAGTACATTTAAGATGTTTAGCATGGTAAAGGTTAGATAAAGAGAAATACAGTATAATATTCTATCATTGGTATTGGCATACACATTTAAATTTAATTAATAAGAACTTTTATGTGTTTAGTTTTAAGAACAAATGTTTTTATTTAATGTTAATTTTATATACCACCTGTTTCAAGAGCTTATGGTTACAAGTCAATCATTTTCCCAGTCAGTTGTAGGCCAGGATCTGGTTACACAACCCAGGTTCAAATCTGTGCCTGATATATTACCTGTACCAGGTATCTTCCTTAAACAGTATAGTTAACTGCATCACTGTCAGAAAGACTTAAAACTCGAACACAAAGAAAAAAGAAACAGCAATTATATTCTGCTCCTACTGTAGTTCTTAAAGATGTCTGGATTTTATCTTGGATTTTATATACACTTGGTTTCTTCAGAGATGTTTTCTATGTCTCTAGTTTATTTCTTCTAGCTTATCACATGAATTAAACATTAATAAAAATAAAAATGATTAAAATCTATCATTTTGACTTGTTGTGTATAGCGTAGTTAAACTTATATCAAGCCCCCTAGCACCGGCTTGAGCGGTACTCAATTCTCAACACTTAATAGTGCTGGCATCAATGATCCCGATTGACCAGAAAAATATAACAACACTGAAATGAAGTACGGGGCAACTTTTTACAGCTGCCACATAGCACTTGACACCTGCTGTTGTGAAGTATAAAAATCTGGAAACAAAGTGATCCCCCGGAAGCATTAATCACAACAAAATTACATAAGAATTGCATTTAATTCTTGGAATTAAGTCATTCTTAAAATTTTGTATATTTTTAGCGAAAAAAAACCAACATATATATTCCATCATACTGCTGCTGTCCACGTTTTTTCTTATCAAAATTGATTTGTTTTACTTCTGAATGTAACCTCAAATAGTAAAAATTTTCTGGGGCAGAAAACTCAAAAAGGAGGAGAATGACCTCCAAAGTTCTTTTTTCATAAAGTTGTTTCAATCATGATTCTTTTCAATCATGCAAAGTTTAATAAAACTATGTACAAGTTTAAAGCTCACTTCTTTGGCTTTGTGAAAAATTGTACTTCTTCCATAGACGCCTTTTAAATCGGCGTTTAAACCATGGAGACAAACAAACAAAAATATTTCATTGAGGGACTAAGTAGAAAGATGTCCTTATTTAAAACAACTTGTTGATTTACTTGTCATAAATATTTGATAAAGTTGTCTTGGTGCCAGAATACATTTGTCTCTATGATGAATATCATAAAACATTTAATTGATCATGTCAGTTTGTCAGGAAAAAACCAATATCTCTAGGTGTGAATCCATTAATGAGAATTCATTAAATTGCTGCATCACATGTCAATTAGCAATGCCAATTAGCTGTAGAATTAATTTCACATCAATAAATATTGACTGAAACCGAGTTCTTGGTGCACCAATGTTTACCTGAACACAGAAAGTTATGACGATTTACAGTGACTAGATGTGCATTGAACGCTCTCCTTGTAAACAACAGAACATAAATTTGTAATAAACAGAATTATTTGTTAAAATACAGTAAATATATGCAAGACAATTTGTACGCGTTCTCACACCAACAACTGCCATGGTTTTCCCAGGTGCATTGCAAAAAATCGAGATGTTCATTTAAAAAAAAAAAAAAAAACAACAACAACAACAACAAAAAAAACACACCTTGATCTAAAAGAAAGGATCTAGATTTATATTATTTAGATAATGGAAGGTGCAATTATCTCAATTAATCTAAATCTAAACCTTTATAAAATCACTGTATGTATATCTTTATTTCACAAAGCCAGTAGACCAGACTGGTCCATGAGGCAACATATTTACAATATATACAATTACATAGGTCACATGACATCGATTGTTAACTATTGCATACAAAATAAACATACTCAAATACAAATAAGCCTTGAAACAGACTATACATTTTAAAAGATATACTTATTTGCATAATAACAATTGAAAAGGACTATACATTTTTAAAACTATACTGTTTACAAAAGAGGATAAACACACAGGGACTTGAAAACTACTGCAAAATGTATGTCTGTATATATCGTAATGTATTGGGAGAAGACATACGATTAATTTTGATACAAAGCTTCATTTCTGATTTTGAATGCTTTATAAATATATAGTCCTAAATTAAATATAACATGTTCATTTTGGCATTTCAACAATTCTATGAATTTGAACATACTGGGTTTAATTACATAATATTGTGGTATTAACCTTTTTCTCAGAAAATTATATTTAGAGCAACATATTACAAAATGATATTCATCTTCAAGCACATTACATTGTCTACACAATCTATTATTTATATCAACTCTATGTCTAGACCATCTGCCAGTTTCTATTTCAAGTCTATGAGAAGACAAACGTAATCTAGTAAGTGCATGTCGGACATGTTTTGTTTTTATAAAATTAAGATAAGGATGGAAACTAAAATCTGAGATATTTTTATAAAATAATGCTCTAGATGACTCTTCTAATCTTGAATTCCATTCTTGTACATAAACATCAGACAGGCGTTGTTTAAACAATTCTAAAAACACATTTACATTTGCAACTTCTTGAAATAACCATACATGATAAAAACCATAGCGACTTAATAAACATTTCACCTGGTTTGCCCAATTAAGAGTATTTGGGTGTCTTTCTATTGTATTTAACATATCTTTATAAACTATTTTAACATATTTCCTATCGTTTAAACGTAGAATTTTAAACCAATATTTAACAATTGAAAGTAAACATCTTGTTCTACATGGTAGTCTACCTATTTCACCATAAACAAAATCATTTTGACAGTTCTTTTTAACACCAAGGACCTTCTTACAAAATTGTGTGTGTACACGTTCAATACAGTTTGATGATGCAAAACCCCAAACTTCACTGCTATATGATAAAATTGGATAAACTAATTTGTCAAATAGATCTAAAACATGCTTCGGCGATATATCAACAAATTTATACAAATACTTTTCTAGCCTATACGTTGCTTTAAGGGCCTGACCAGCTAATAATGTTTGCGTTTCTGTAAATGCACCACCAGTTGTAAAAACAACACCTAAGTATGTAAAACGATTAACTATTTCCAATATATTACCATTATAGTTAAACTCTAAATGACCAGGCAAACGACCGCCTTTTCTAAAAACCATAACTTTTGTCTTTTCTGCGTTAACAACAAGTTTCCACCTTTGACAATATGCATATAAAACATCAAGCCCTTTCTGTAAATCACTTGGGCTGTTAGAAAAAATAACAATGTCATCTGCATAAAGCATAAGAAATAACTTTATATAACCAAAATCAATACCGTTTAAAACCATTTATAATAAATTCATTTTCAATATCATTTAAAAACATAGAAAATAAAAAAGGGATAAGCATTCCCCTTGTCGTACACCTAAGATACATGTAAATTCATTACTTATCTCATTATTAAGCTTTACATGAGATTTTATATCATTATACATAGATTTAATTATATTAAGCAAACGTCCTCGTATTCCGTATTGTATTAATTTATACCACAAGTTATCTCGTATTACATAGTCAAACGCCTTCCTGAAATCTATAAAAGCA